GGCGAGGGGGGCGGGGAAGACGCCGGAGCAGAAGAAGGCAGCCGAGGCGAAGGCGCTTGCGGCTGCGCAGGAAGTGCGCAAGAAGTCGATGGCAGCGACCAGGGAAGCCTTCAACACGTGGACGAGCAAGAGCGCCTCCCGGAAGGAGCAGCTACGGCTGTGGATTTTGCGCAACACGATGATCTTTTTTAGGAAATGGTTGGGCGGGCACGCTCAGGCGTGAGTGGGGAGGGTACGTATCTATACGTCGCGGTGTGTTGTAGTGTTGGTTTCTCGCGTTTTGGCGCGGTAGAGGCGTTCGTCATGGTCACCAACTCAACGCTATAGCTGTCTCTCTTGGTATCGGACTTGCTTAGAAAGAACGGATGTGATTGCTGCATGCTTTGTTTGCAGCACCTTCACCAGCCAGGGGTTGAGCAAAAAGTAAACGACGGTATTGTATGTATGTACATATATATGTAACGTGTAAACAATGTAAATATGGATTGACAACGGTTTAACTGATGTTCTGAAGGCATATACGTGTAGAGGGGAGGGGTTGAGGGGGGGTCGTGGTGTACTTTGGGGGCTCCGTGGGTCATGAGGGGGTGGGGTGGTGGGGGCTCCGTGGGTCATTTTGGTCAAAAATGTCGCATTTCACCCAATCACCAAAAACCCATCGGATATCGACGAAGCTCGACGCCGCAGTCACGCCCAAAGTTGTTTCACTTTCCAAATCGTTTTTTTTCGAAAGATATCGCGAAAAGCAAGATTGTGAATATTTGCCCGAACGGACCATACGAACCTGTAGGTGTCACGAATTTATTGTTCGGGGCATCCACCGCTAAAACACCCTCTTCTTGCTGTTCGCTACAACCGGGAACGACTCAAATAGCGCGGTGCGCCAAAAGCGTGGAAAAGCCCAAGACAACTATTCATATTATAGTGCAAACTGTAGAGAGGTGTCGGTATGTTGCCTTGATCAGGGTCACGCATGTGTCTTATTACAGAAGTCAAACGATCGTGTAGACGACTATGCAGAACAACACTGCATTACTGAAGTTACTGGTGTAGTCTACAGTGCTTCTGCTGTTCGTGCATTTCACGAAACACGCAGCTTTTCCCTCCTGGGCAAGAAACCTTTAGGCGGCATATGGCGGCATATTGTGTCGGTCACATGTCACAGGTATTGCATAGACTATGCGCACGTATACGGATCTGTGCCCTATGTCCCGTCATCTGCTTGGTTGGTAATTTGGGATACATGTTTCAGGGTGTTTCCGTCGGTATGTTTTGCTCGGATGGTGCAGCCCCAGGGCACCTCCCGTCCCCTCGTTCTGTTTTCCATCCGGTCTTCGACGAAAAATACACAGCAGGTCTTTTGCAGCGCGATTCACTGGATGGAATATTCTTCAGTGATCACGTCATCCTTGTACAAAGACAAGAGTCGTCGGCACCACTCTCTTACGGACATTGATTGCCACAAGCAGGGGGTAACCCATATCGTAACGCCCCACGTGTGGATACGCTGTGCGCTGAGCTCTACTCCGTGGCCGACTACAAGATCGCACCACGTGCTTTGCTTACGTGCATCGGACGTCACTCGCATCACATTTTTTCTCTCGTCGCATGCATACGCACGAGCTGCAGACGGAGATGGAGTATTTCTCGTTTCGCACACCTGACAAGCCCGTGCTAAACTCCATCTAGGTACGCGGCTGTCGTCCGCTTCAAGCCTCTTGCACACACCAACTCACGCGACGATCCGCCCTGCTTGCCACGTAAAAGTCAACTGCTCGGGCGTGCGCGTTTCGGTGAATTCCGCACCACCTATGGTCGGCCACGAACATGTCTATCGACGCCCGCCCGGGGGATGTGTCCACGAAAATGGCATCCTTCCAAGAATCATCATAATTTAAACGCTCACAAAAATTGGCCATTGCACCACACTAAATTACATATCAACCATACACAGCCCGCATTTCAAGAAGGGGAAGAAGGTGTAGAACCACCAGAGCACACCTCACGCATTCACTCTCGCACCAACAGCTACAAAACTTACGGAAGCCCACTTCCAACCAACCACGGACCAATTAATTGTGCGGAGCGACTCCGTAATCAGGAGAAACACACGAAACACTTGTTACTTTGGAATATGCATGTATTTACCAAAAAAGCGGAAAAATCACAAAATAATGCCTACGTGTTAGTCTATCGGGTTGCGGGTATACTTGAGGAAATTATGACGCCAAGACACTCGGATCCCCTTCCCTTCCCCGTGCTCTCATCACCAAAGAATACCCCCTTATCCGTGTGTTAGATATTCCTGCCATCGCTCAGGCCTGGCCAAACGCCAAGCCTAACAATGTCGACCTCAAACAACTACGCCGCGAAAAACGGGTGCTGTGCTAGCAGTTGCGCCGAGGATGGACGAAGCCTGCGGTCCACCACCAGCATCTGGCACAAGAGGTCCACCGCCCCCGCAGATATTCTCGACGTGAGATTTAATCTATCGAGCATTACTCCGGCCCCGTGCTGCTCCAAGGTCGTGTAGCTGTAGATGTCCGAACTGTGTACACGTGGAGCGGCAGGGAATGTATTTTGTCAGTCCATGCAGCGCGAAAAACAAATAACTTCCTCACACACCTTGCTTATACAATTCGTGCGCCAGCTCTCACGAGGCTGGCGACGAAGGGATGCAGCACAAACTGCAGCTTTGATTTGTCTTTTTTCTTTTTCCTATTCAAAATTTCACAAGGGGTGCTTCGGCCGCCCCCCCCTATGGGCGCCGGTCTCGCGTAATACGCGTAGGTAAAAAAATAGAAGGAAGTGTTTGGTAGTGCTGTGTAGGTATTGAGGACATCAGCAAGTGGTGTAAGTAGATCGAGAATCGGACAGATACAGCAAGCTGCGTTAGTTTGGTTCTCTTCTCATTTTCAGGAATATATGTTTCCCCGCTTGGCTCTACAGCAGCATCAATGCTACTGTCCTCAAACCGTGCATGGCTTAAACTGCTTGTGCTCCATCTCGTAGTGATACACAAGAGGTAGACTTACAAGTAGTGGTGGTGTCTACGCTGTGCAGGGGGGGTATGGCAAGATACATTATGCCTGGTACAGCTTCACGCACACGTAAGTTGAAGTCCATCGCCAAGAACATCAGATCGGCAGCAAGTAAGAAAGTGTCCGGGCCGTAACTATCAGGGCACAGCAGTGCACAACGCAGGACGCTCTACGCGCGGGGCGCGGTGTGCGTGCATTATTCCCGCCCGCGAGCCGCAGGATCGAAAGACTAAATAATAGTCGTGGGAGGCAGAGCCTTTTGCTAGCTATGAGCGAGGTAGAGACATGCCGCAAATATCCTATGCTACGGCTTCGTCATTAATGACCAAAGCTGATTATGACGTCATACAAACCCGCGGAGAGAACCAGAGAAAACCAAAAAAAAGTGAATTCAAGAACAGTTTTCCGGCGGTCCAGCGCGGGTAGCTCCTGACACAGCGCACCGCATGGCGCGATACTCTCGGTTCGTGCCGACACTAAGAACATTCTTCCCGTCCGAGAGCAGACGTAACGAACGGAACCAGTTTAGACGTAGACTCCGAAAAAATTGGGCTCACGAGAGAGCAGGGCTGTGAGAAGGAGGTAGACTATGCTTTCGTACAGGTTAGTTCCACCACTTTTCATAAGATCCGCAAAGGCCCTTGCTGGGAAGGCGAGGAAGGGAAGTGCAACAAAACCGCGAAACAGCACAGACCGCCGGCTTCCTGCTTGCTTCAAAATATTCGAAGTCGATGCTTCTGGCGTTTTGACAACAACTACGGTTGTTGCAAAGGCAGCCATATCATGCTAGGGACATATTGGGACAGAGCAGCTGGACATATCCGTTTCGTGCGGGGCACACAGAACGAGGCCCGATGGTCCGAAATTGTTGTTGTCTTTTTGGTCTCGAGATCTTGGGGGGATTGTTGCTCCGGCTGAACGGAGCAGACTGTAAGTGCGTCCGAGCAACAACGTTGCTGATGTGCTGTGTGATCAGCACAGAGCCCGATCACCACATCGCAATCAACAAAAGACCTACCTCCGAGCAACAAGGACGCAAGAGATGCATATCGTCGCGGTACACGCACCGGTCGGGCATACCTGTAGCTGCACACGCAACAGCACACAACACAAAAACTGATCTGAAAACATTTACGAGTCCCTTGTAGTACGAAGCTGACGGAAACCACAATGCGATACGACATCACCCAACTACACTACGGCAGAGCGAAGCGGCATCCCTCGTGACAGAGCGATCGAATGAAAGATTGAACGAACAACCGATCGAGTACACTCGCCTGTAGATCTCTTGTGCCTCCATCGGTACACGCGTCGGAGCTTGCCACGGGTAGTCTCCTAGCAGACACACCAGCAGCGTGACTCCGACGGACCAGATATCAATCTGCCTCCCGTCGTACTCCTGGTTGTTCCAGATCTCCGGCGCCATATACCTTGGCAATCAACAAATGTATTCCATACGATCACGCATGCAACCAGTATCGTCATCGAGCGGTGGAATGCTCGCCATATCTCTTCAGTACTGCATCGACCTCAACGGAGTTGTTGGCCAAAACGGTTGGAGTTGAAACAGCACACCCCGTGATAGTCATATGACACGCGAAATTGGCTCTTGAAGCCCGATCCTCATCCTCCTAATCCCGAAACAGCAACACCATGCCATGACCACAAAAAAGCAACCGACGTCAATCACGAGAGTCCTTCAGGACAAGCTCTCCGCAAGAGAACCTGGTTCAACGACGCCCATGATCGGTCTGGCTCAACCGTGCTTGAACCGGTGGCTCTGGAGGCAAGCACACGTCCAGCAGCGTCGGCTGAGTGAACCACTCGAATACCCCCATGTACTGGTGAAATGAGCGCGCACACGAAATGTCACACTGCGTCTTACGCAGGAAGGGATACTCGACTTCCAAATCATCGGCTCACCTAAGCTTTCCGAATCGCTGTGCATCGCGCGCCGGCAGCACCTCTCCCCGGGAACCTCTCCGCATTCGCTGAACCATGCCGAAGTCCATCACAACCGCGGCGTCTCCCATTCTGGTGATGACGACATTCTCAGGGCTGAAGTCGTGGTGACAAAGGCCCTGCCACAACAAGAGACGAAAATGGTGGGGGGACGCCGGCCGGGACCGACCGCTGATTCTGGGGTTCACCTATGCATACTGCTGTCTGAAGAAACAAACCGGCATGATGTTGGCGTGCCACGTACTTCTGTACCGACCGGGGGTTCCAAGAAGAGAGACAGTTATCGCAACAATAGGCCAACACTAGGACCACGCCTCCCCTCTACCCAGTGGATCGCAGCTGCCAATCAATCTTTCCGCTGGCATGGGCAGGACGGAAAACGTAGCACAGCCTTGCGTCAAGGTGGAGTGTTTCCGAAGCCAGGTACATATGAATCAATTCACAACGCGTAGCTACTGTTCTGTATGGCCCTCGCTTCCTCACCCTCGAGTGCACATGAGCTAGCCCGTACAAAATCTGCCGAAACCATTTCCTTGCTTGTTGCTCCCCCGTCCCCTCCCCCGGCTCCACCATTCTCAACAGGTCCCCCCCCCCGCAGTACGGTGTCACCACGTACACGTGTGTCCTGTTCGCCGAGCGACAAGGGGGGGGCGGGACGATTGTTAGACACGCGTGCGGCCCGAGGTTGGAGGCAAGACCACACCGGCCAAATCCGCCGCATGCCTCTACACGTACACATGCATCATGTTGAGAAAACGGAGACGCAAGTGCGCTTCTATTCCCCTTTCCGATGCCTTCCGAAACGAATCAACGCAGTTATACTATCTCGCCTTGGCAACGCAAGGCACTTCAGTGAATGCCACAGTAACCCCTCCGCCTCCAATCATTGCGTTCGCCAGCTGTCTGCAAGTGTGTTTTCGTTGTTTGGTTTCGACCCGATCGTGCTATTTCCTTGGCGCCGTTCCTTCAACCTTCAAAGATACTGCCGATAGATACCTGCTCAAATAAGAAGCATAGTCTGTAGCAGAAGCAGCGCAAACGATGCTTACTCTGACATGCACGCCGCCACTAACGGCATGACGAACTGGTGTCCGCCTGCTTGCCTTGACCCAGCCGCCAAATCACGCTTTGCCGCCGAAGACAGTGCAGAAAATGCAGTAGAGAGTAGAGAGTAGAGAGTAGAGGCGGCAAACGCATGAGGGGTCAGGCCAATCCAACGGGCTAGAGAAAAGAATGCCGGTTCAGAAGAAATATAGTTGCTCCGATACAAGTTATGCATCAGCCAAAACAGGAGGGACGAGAAAAAAAGCTCGAAGTGCTGGAAGGGTCACAAAAAAACAATTACAACGGCGGAGAGTTGCACATGACAACTTAACCTCCTACACGTAGACGCAAACCATTGGAACTCTACAAGTCGGGTTCTACTCTCTCTGGAGTAGTGAAAAATCTCGCAAATTAGAACCGAATAGCCCGGCGTGAACAAGAACAACAACGGCACACCTACATACTCACCATGACTGCGATTTCTTTGAAGACGTTCTCCTGTGGAGTTCGCCGCATATGCGCAAGGCTCGATCTCTTCACCGCCACGTGGAACTGTTCCTCCTCTCTAAAGGGCGCGGCAAACGAAAAAGGGCTGTTTCGGGCCGGACAGTGCCGCAGCGAAATGCAGAGTAGCGGCAATAAAAAACGAGGAAAGGGAGGGAATGGGATGGCACTCGACGATCAACGTGCGGAGCGATAACAGCAGCAACAAAACCGGGTCATTTGCACAACCAGTGTGCCCCCCCAATTCCATAGGGAGTGCTCATGATAACCGGCATGACGCAATCCGGCATGAGCCACAGCATGGTCGCGAGGTTACATTGCCGTAAACTTGCCTTCGTCAGTCCTTTGGTACAGCCATGCAGCAGCAGGTGACTCTCACAGACAATTTGGCAACACATGTAGCATGTCTTTGCACTCGACACACGCAAATGTAGCTGACTCGTATCGAGGAGGGACCAAAACTGAACTGATTGATACAGTTGGAGCACAGAAGAAGAGAAGTAAAGCCCAATGGTGGAGTAAGGCCATTACCAGTGCTAAGGTTCGGATGTGGCGCCCTCCAAGCATGTGTAGTGTGCATCATGTTTTCTCCGCGCCTTCGGGGGGGAGCTTCGACTCCCGCTATCATTCCATCACCCACTGCATACCAACATTCCGGAATGAATAGCACAGCAGCACCTCCTTTTGGAGTCATGGACCCTGGCTCTCTCGGAGAATAAACGGTTGCAACATCAACACCCCCAAGTTTACGACAGCATGGTCATCAATACCATCAGTCTCATCACCGTCTGCATCGGCGGCAGCTGCCATGCGCATGTTTCGATAGTTACCCGGACTACCATTGCATCTAACAGTACACGGTGTGGAAGCGGTGCCATGTAGGGGAGGGGGACAAGAGTGAAACCCATCGCCTACATTCTTCCATGTACACGTGCTGGCAAGAGAAGAGGCACTGCGCACATCACTCGACGTTATTCAGAATGTTTCACGAGATGGCCACTAGCATCTCATCTGGGGGTTAGGGAAGAAGCTTGGAGCAGATGCCAACACAATGCTACCACCACCTTCATGTGTCTACCTTTGTGCCCCAGCCGTTGTTTAGACACGATATTATATCTCAATACATGTCACGTGGAAAGGCGATCAGCGCATCAAGAGAACTATTGCAAAGATTCCTCCTCTCCCCCTCCCGGACGTTGCTTTTGTACACGGTACATACCGTAGGTTGCATAAGATACCACGCCCGTGCGATAACATTTTTGGGGTACCAAACTTACCACACGGGTGTGGTATCCTGCAGGGGGCGAGATATCTTACGCCACCCGTGTGATCAAGTGCACTCACAGCACCCCACCTACAGGAGGTGTGATAACGAGGGCGCGTGATAACGTCGCCCGCATGATGAAGCGCTTTCACATGACCCGGCCTACAGCGGGTGTGACAATCATGGGGTGTGATTACGTCGCCCGTGGGATGAAGTGCGCTCAAAGCAGGAACCAAGGTAGAAGGTGTAATGAAAGGGGTAACAAGGGGCTAGCAGTAGATTATGTTGTGCGAGCCTCAGCAGTACATGTGGTGTCGTGCACGGCTGCTGAGGGAGTCGTCTCAGCAGGGGCACACGTTCCCCCGCGGCGGGGCTTTCTGCAGTGGTTAACTGCATCTCCTTCCAAGGTATTGTCGGCCTCCGTGGCTTTCGCGCGCAGGTTGCGTCGCTTGTGAGCTTGTGATCACGTGTTGTCGCTTTGTCGCAGCATGTGATAAGCGGGTGTTCAGTCGATATGCGGCTCAAACTTGCGGGGGTGTTGTCTTACGTCACCATATGATAAAATGACGTTTTTCTCGGGGCTAAATGATATAGCACACGGGTGTGGTATCGTGTAATTTTTCGAAGAAGGTGTGGTACTTTTTGCAAACGTGATATCGTATGCAACCTGCATGCGGGTGTACAAAGGCTTGCACCCGCTCTCGCATTCCGCCACATGCAACACTCACTCGTTTGTATTCGGGCACACCCCCTGGATGCCATGGAAGACGGCCCCAAAGAGAGAGTTGACGAGCCGTCTCTGCAGGTAAAAGGTCTTGCCATCGGGCAAAACGATCAGGTCCGGATCCTCGTGATCCTCACTTCCATCCCGCGCTCGCCTATTGAGTTCCCTGGTGTTTTTTTATCGGTAACAACGTCGGTGGTGCGGGTAAGGATGTCAGAAGTTAGGGTAGAGGTCGACCAACGATGGGCAGACACTACGCGTATACCTGTAGATAGAGGAATTGCTTGCTACGCGTTCAAGTATAGAGCGTGCATGCGCCACGCGCAGAACGGACAAGAATGTGAGCTACAAGTGCTGTACAACGCTGTGATAGACAACAGAGAAGCGTCTAGGGCAGGTGTGTTCCCAGTTTCAATCAAAGCTGGGTCCTGTGGGCGAACCACGTGCAAGGTCCTCATTTGGGCTCCACCCTTGTAACGCGTCCTCGTCTAGGCTAAACTCCCTGCGTTTCTGTTCGAAATCAAGTCAAAGCCGACAAAAATGCTGCGATGAGAGGACACGGTGAAAAATACGGACACAAACGACCTCCATACTCAACGACGCCAGAATGGGGCTGTTTTCTGCGTTGTTAATGTCGATGAGGAGGTCTGCATTCCATAACCATCATGCATCAGACATCACACAGGACGAGACGACCAGACGACAAGTCTGTTCGTTCAACACGAAACGCAACATTCGTCGACAGTGGAACCAAGAATTAAAAATATTCTGTACCCGTACTGACTGACATGTGTCCACGTGCATACTTACAGCAGCAGTAGGTCGACGCACTGGTCGGCATGTGTCAACATACAGCAGTAGGTCAACGCACATAAGTCGATAGCGTACGATGTTGGGCAGACGACGCACCAGACGACAACACATATGAGGTTGTGTAATTTCGATCTACTACAAGTAGCACGGCTGAGGACGGCGGTTTCTGGAGAGACCTTTTCTTCCCATCTCCTGGTGTTTGCCATCGGGATTGGGTTTTCGTCGCTTGGCAACCACGTTGTAAAACAAGCCAATTCACTTTGTGAACTCGGCAACCAGGATACCGTTTTGTTTTTACCCNTAAATTAAGTCATGCGCAGCTGTCATCCGTATGCAAGGAAGTGAGCACAAAATGCATGCCGAACACCCTTAGCAGGACGCAGCGCACCCTTCATGCGCGCCGAGTACCTCACGGCGCTTCGCGCTTGGTGATGTGAGAGCCTGGTCCGGTGAGAACCCGGCGTGCTCCGTCCCGGCTTTGTAGGGATGCGAGGTCAATGGTCTAACGACTGCGGCATGCACGACTATGAGTACACACACACACACACACACACGCCCTCCTCCCCGTACAAAGTGCGGCCGCTGAAGGCGCCGGAGGCGCCGGAGGTGGCCGCCATTTTAAAACCAATGATAATGTATTCTCACAGCAGCAGCAGTGTAGATAGTACGATCAGCGTCATTACATGTAACTTGCTGGAGATGGCGATTTCTGGACCAACCTCATTCTTCTTCATTTCTTCTCCCCCTTCAAGGCGCGGCCACCGGAAGCGCCGGAGGCGCGGGAGGTGGCCGCCATTCGAAACTATTAGTGCATACC